AATCCTTCCCATGGGAAAATGCTTTTGTTTTGAATTCTTTAAAAAAAATAAGATAAGACTTTAAAAATTGGATGTTAGAGGGAACTAAAGATTATAATTAAAGAAGAACACTCAACTTACAATTACAGAATGAAGCAAAATAGTTTAACATTGGACATATTGAAGGATATTTTTGAACAATGGACTCAGAAGTTAATTTTAAGAGTGTTTGTGTCTGTAGATAGACTGTACTTAAAAGATGTTATGAAAGGGAACAAATTTTACCTGACAAGATTGAGACTGATTTGAAAGTGGATTTAAAAATGATAGGCTAAAAGAAGGATATGGAAAAAAGATGGACATACAAAAGAAATCGGCCGATGTCCTAATAATTAAAAAGGATATACAAATAACAAACCAAGAGAGTGACCTGGATAATTTTCCCATATTGGATTTACAAAAGAGAGACTTGTTAAAGCTTTGAAAAATTTTGTGAGAAGAGACAAAGAAAAAATGAAAAGAAATCAAGTTCTACAATATTATTTGATGGGATTAAAGTTCAAGATTGTTAGAAGTAAAAGGAAGGAATATAAAGTTGGCTTATTTGATCTAGGTTAAAATTTTTATTTATTTATTTATTTATTTATTTATTTATATTTATTATTAAATTTGTATGCCGCCCATCTCCCCCCAATGGGTGACTCTGATATGTTGTTATCTCTGCTAACCCTCAATGGACTTTTGCTGACATCAGAACTGAAATGACGAGGCTTTATGGATTTGTGTATAGATAAGAGATGGGATATGGGAAGAAGAGATAATTTGTTGTATCTTAAGAGAAGGTGATAAATTGCTAAAATTGTTTATACTTGTTCTGATGAAGGGGGAAGTCCCTTCTTTATATATTTCTTTTCTTTTTCTTTACAATATTCTTATTTTTTCTTTCTTTTCTCTTTTTGCTTTTCTGCTGCTTTTCTGTTTTCTTTTTATTGTTTTCTTTTTTTAGTTTGAATTAGTTTTTATTGTCGTAATTGTAATATTTAATAAAATTACTATATATAAAAAAAGGAAATATTCAGGTATAAAGTGTAGCAGGCTGGGATGCTGGTTCAACCAGGGAAGCAAGTCAGCATTTCTAACTCAACTGAGAGTTTGTAGCAGGAGTGGAGAGTGACTGCCTGAGGCCATGCATTTGATGGGTGCAAAATCAGGGCCCACTTGCAGCCCCTGCTTTTATATTGTGGCCTCCTTGATCAGCGCCGGATCATGCCATTGAAATTCCAAGGCATAAAACTCTGGCTTGGTTTTTGGTATATGGGGCTCTTTAAGAGTGCTATGCAGGGTGTTGGATTCCAAGGTAAAAAGTGTTTTGACACACATGGGTCGTGTGAAAGGAGCATCTGACTTCTCTCCTTAAAGTAACTGTGCTTTTTCCAGGGATTATGCTGGTTGATCCTGGGGAAAGAACATTTGTTTAAGGAATTGCAGAAAATACTCTGTTCAGATCTGTGTGGTTCAGAATACCTTTTGCCTTGAAGCAAAGCACTCCAGAGCCCTACCAGTTAAAGCATATTAGGCATCTTAAGTTAACACATCTATTTTCAGATTTGACAGTTCCCCAAATAAAAAAGGAAACTCAGAAAATAAAAAAGGAAAAAGGAAAAAAAGGTGACATTTCTATCTCACCTCCTGGTGTTCTAATCCTGTCATCAAATCTCTTCCTTGGACTTTTGGTGGAGGCATGGCAAGCTAATCATGTTTCTGACAGAGCAGAAATGACAACCATGGCAAAGACCAAAGAACCTGTTCTTTGGAACATCTCTGGACAAGGAGAGTACGAGAGATCACTCACGCATGCTCTGGATGCCTGCTTCCATAGCTGTGAGCACCAGGAGACAAAGGGATCAGTCATCAAGGTCACAACTGTGGCAGAGTCTTTTGAAGGACACTAAGTTCACTAACCTCGCCTCTAATCACTTTTGGAAATTGCCTATTTAACTATCTTAAGGCTATTAGAAATCTTTGGACCAACAAGGTTGAATGGTGAATCTATCTTAAAATCTCCAATAAAAATTATATTTAAAAAAATCAAATCTCTTCCTTGGAACCCTCAAGGCAAAATCATCATTATCAAAAGGGCACTTCCCCCCAAAACAAAAGATGACCCCACCCTGATACTGATGAAAATGATGCTGACTCCTGGGGGAATGAATATTCTCTTTTCAAAGTGTTTCCTGGAATTTTGGGTCTTCTTCCTGTTTTGGTACCCTTAGACCTTACTGTAAAGTAGAACAGAATAGAGCATTGTGTCTAACCTATATGGACTATTTGTTGTTATTCTGAGATAAATTTTACCCTAGTGCTGATGGATGGATGGATGGATGGATGGATGGATGGATGGATGGATGGATGGATGGATGGATATTGATTTGTGGGATGATATGGAAATAGCTGTGGCCATATATTTGTCATGTCATCTCTGAATGTGAAAGTTGCCTCTTGCTAATTAAGACTTTCCTTATCCTTTTCCTGATATTGCAGTTTGAATAGCTTGGTAACCATATAACATTGTTCTCCATCCCCTCCTCATGTTTTTCCAGGAGAACTGATTAACCTTGCTATGTACTGTGAGAGAATAAGGAGGAAATTCTGGCCAGAGTGGCATCATGATGAAGACAACACTCTGTATGAATCAGAAGAAAGCAGTGAAGCAAGTAAAAGTCAACCGCTGCAGGACTTCAGTTTTTATTCAAGGACAGAAACATTTGATGATGAAGGACCTGATAACAGTTTTTCCCGAACGCCTGATACCGATTATACAGGGCATTCCCTCTTTGATTCTGACGTGGATATGGATGACTGCACAGATCATGAACCATGCAAGTGATGTGTCTAAAATATGTTATCCCATTTTGTGTCAGAAGCACTAATACTTCTTGGGACTCATGCAAACTGACTCAGGTTTCAAAGAGCCCCTTGCTGGTTGGGAAGAGACCATTACGCTCAATGCTATTTCCATATGGTCTTTGGACCATTTCATCTTTTTTTCATCTTGCAAAAGAGTTCCAATGGATCCTAGGCAAACAGTTTTTAATACTGCGCACTATGAAATTGAAAAGATGACAAGGAAGGTAATGGGAGGGAGGAGGGGAATTCATGTTAAAAAAAAAACAGAACTTTCCAGAATGATATAGAGAAGCAAAGCGTCAAGAAAATCTCATTTTGATGTTCTAATCTTCTCCTCAGTGGACTTCCTGCCCCCAGGATATGTTGTAGTGAAATCAGCACAATGAGGAATGATAACATCTTTCTACTACTTTGGGTGTGCCAGGTGGCCCCTTGCATTTTGTTGTAAAACAGGTTCTTCAAATATGTGGGCTCTAAGAAATGTTTGCAAAAGGAAGAAGTAACTATTTGTTTTTGCATTCAAACCAATCATTTATGGCTCCTTTCTGATAAAATTTATTTTTATTTAGTTTTAATTTACTTTGACAATCTTACTTTTTTAAAAGAGAAAATGCACCATCCTTTGTTTTTATCCTTTGCATAAATTCTGCTGCCATAATTACTCAGACTAGAATATAATAATTATATCAAAAGATCACAGGATCAGGTTACAGGGGCAAAGAATTGGATTGTGCATTATGAAGCAAACTTGATTCTCATTGGCTTGAGTGGTTGGGGCCACCATGATGCAGAAGCAGACTTGGTCTTCACTCAAGAGCAGTTACCAACTTTTACTTTCTCTCATAGAAATGCATGATTGCATTCATTTATTTATGCATTGGATTTATGTCCTGCCTTTCCACTTATACAGGTAGCCTCTTACTAAGTAAGATCTTACAACAGACTGCATCTTCCCACTGATAGCATTCCAGTCTACAAATCTCTTTTCATACAACACCTATTGGTTATAATCATGGCAAGACTTCTGCTCATGGCCAATCACCTGGACAACCAGGTTTGGCTATGTGAATATTGCAAACGTCTACTGTATATCAGGATGTAGTATCACAATTGTATACATAAAGTATTTTGTTTTTAGTTCTTTTGTCCACCATGTAGCCAAGTTTCTCAAACACTTGCAAAGTCGACCAATGTTATTGTACAGGGTTTAATTTTGGGAAGAGGAAATGCTGCTGGGAGCTATAACTTCTGCCCCTCAGGTCTTTACCTGGTAGGTCTGTTTACAGTTATTTAAGGGAAATGATAAATACTTGTTTAACCGCAGGATCCTATTTATTACACCTCACATTGCAAAGCAGATGGCTTTGGTTTTTGAAGACTGATTCTGGGGTTTTATTTAATTGTATTTATATTTATATTCATACTCTACTTTTTGAACCCAAAACAGTTTTGAAGAGGCTCTGGTATCTGTTAAGCTCTACTGTAGGATTTTTTTTTTCCTGGCAGGTTCTTAAAATGGGCCACTGCCTTTCATCAGAGAGACCTGCTGTAGCTTTCTTTCCCTTCCATGTAGTGGATCTTGTTTGTCACATCATCTGTGTAGCTGTTGCATGCAGTCCTGAGATCGGTGCTTATTTATTTCTTTATTTATCAATATTTATAACCCATCCTAATCCTAATGGATCCTGGGTGAGACAACAAAATTAAGTGCAAAAGAAAAAAGCAAAAATAAAAGCTCAGTGTAAGCTGTTAAAATAATATCATTAAAAGCCAGTAATAACCATCATAGCTGCCCTTAAACTAATCTAATCAAAGGGCTCAGTGCATGCTGGAATTAAACTATTTTAGCCAGTTTACTAAATGCCAGCAGGTTTGGGGCAATCCATTCCTTGGGTGGAAGAGCGTTCCTGGTCTGTGCCCCATATACCTTTTGAGGACGGGGCACCTACATCTGTCCCACTCTTGATGATTGGACTGCATAGGCAGGTTCAATTCTGGCAAAGCATTGCCTGATATAGCGCAGAGCTATGTTGTAAAGAACTTCAAAAGTAACAACCAGCATTTTGAAGTGAGCTTGAAACTCTACTGGCAATTCATTCAGTGACTTCCCATCAGCTGCTGCATTTTATACCAGCTGTAACTTCTGTAATGTAGAGAAAGTAGAGCATGTCTCTAATGTAGGGACCATTATCATCCTCCTACCCCCATGTGGTGATCAGGGCATGGGTTACCATTACCAGGGCATCTTGGCCCAAGTAGAGTCACCACACCCCCAGCTCCTGCAAGTGGTCCAGAAGGATAGTATGGCTGATAGCACTGAACACCATTGAAGGGCCTAATAGGACCAATAGGGGCACCCTTCCTCTGTTTAGTTCCAAGCAAAAGTCATTGACAAAGCAAGCAGTGCCATTTCTGTTCCATTAAACCTATTAATCTGTCAGTTGTTTTTTAATAACTGAATAATCCATATCTTCTTTAAAGTATAGGATGTGAATAATAGCTGATATTAGAGATCCATAGAAATTTTGTTGCTTCTGTTAGATTTCAAAATTCATAATAATAATAATAATAATTAATAATAATAACAATATAGTAGCATTCAGGAATTTTGAGTGAAATTAACAAGGCCTGTCTCTCTCTCTCTTTCCCTCCCCCTCTTGTTCTCCTTTTGCTGGTTTCAGATATACCTGAAAGGACTGAAAGGTTGACAGTTGCAGTAAAATCCCTTGTGCCTTGTCTATGATCTTATTATTTGGAGATGGATCCAACTGAAGCCTTAAGTCTTGTGAGTGGGGAAATCTTGTTTCCTTCCTCTGAAATATTGTTGCATTCCAAGGGCCAGGTAGCCTTTGATATGCAGAATGGCTTTATTTTACAAATATCCTTCTCCTTAATAAAATATTTCAGAAAGGCTTTCAATTCATATATATATAATCTGAATGAATATACCCATGAATAAATATAATGCATGACACCAACCAAATCCAAGGAAAATTCTATACTAAATGAAATCTGAGAGGTCCATGAGGAAAAAAAGAAGTTTCAACTCATTGAAATGATAGCAGAGATTAAATCACATAACACATTGAGACATAATGTAGTTTGTTTGGTTTTGGCTTAGTATAGTGTGTGAATTCAGTGGGTTGTAAACCATGATATATGACTTAGTGAGATGTGTGATTCTAGGCACTGTAACTCTCAGGTTTTAAAAAAGCATGATTAAATCAAGACAGGGCTTAGCCCAGTGTATGAACACAGTTTTCTAGACTATCTGGTCTGTGAATTACTCCACTTTTGTCAGATCAGGCAAAGGACCTCTGAAGCAGATCTGAATATTTGAGAGAGGTTTGGCTTAGAGGTGAAAGAGCCTGAATTACTCAATTGCTAAGTTCTTTATTGCTTTATACAACACTATTAGTACTTGGAATTGTATCTGAATATGGACTAGGAACCAATGTAGCTATTTCAAATCTGACTTCCTTTGCTTCTCAGCCAGTGATCAGCCTGATCATCAGGTTGATCACAGAACAGAATACTGTCTTCTATTTCCACTACTCAGTTGATCACTTTGTTCAACTGTCTTGTGTGATATGGAGCACAGGATTGCTGAAAGAGAACATAAACTACCCTTTCCTCTACCTTCCTGCCATCCTTTTCTAGTAAATTTGCTGTATTGCATCAGGGTTGGCACACTCTGGGTTCCTTGAGTTAGACAATGCCATCTAGTGGGACCCTGGAAGTGTGCCTTCTCTATTGCAGTGTCTGCCCTGTGGAGTGAAGCCCTCCGCCCCCGAGGTCTGGGTGGCTCCCACCCTGCTTTGGAAGGCCTTGAAGATCTGGCTGTTTGTCCAGACCTTTGGCAAGTTAGTTGAAGCCCCTTCTGAGTTGTGTGGGTATGTCTCTTGTTATTGTCTGGTTTGCTATCTTTTGTTCCTTTTGTCTTTTGTTTTGTTATTTTTCTGTTTTTTTACTTGGTGAACTGCCCAGAGTCACTGGGAGTCAGGCAGTGAACATATATAATAAACCAGCAAGCAAACTAGAGCATACTAAAGAAGGCATTTGGGCCTAAAAAGTCCAAATCCACTAGTACTACCAGTCTATCTTTAGGGAAGGGGATCCAGAAGAAGCTGAATATCACATTTAAAAACAGAACAATTAAAAACTTGGTGAGAAAGATGCCCTTTTCACATTTTCTTAATGCTGAGAGAATGGGAGGCAAATGACATAGCAAAGTACGAGTTGGCTTTCTTGTACATGCCAGAAAGATGAGTTTCTGACCCTCGGGAGGCATCTTCAAAACATGGGTGACCATGCGGGGGGGGGGGGCAGATGAAATGTGATGTTGCAATGTACAACCTGTCCCTTTTCTTTTCCATTGTGATGTCATGTGCAAGTATGTAAGGGGAAGGGCTTTTGTTGTTTTGATGAAGCTTTGCTTGCTGCAGATGTCCATGTTTCGGAAGGGCCTCTCCTCCTGGGCTTAACAACTGGAAGATTTGTAACAGGAGATGTGGTCCCTTATAATCAGACCCTAGGCCATTTAGGACTTTAAATGTCAATTCCAACATTTAAAATTGTGCCTTGTAAGCAGTTGGCAACCACTTCAATTCTTTCAGTACAGGAACTATTCATTCATTTCACATTTCATCTTTATAGGTGCTCCCCACCCCCCATCCCCGCAGTCCACACACATTGGGCAGCAATATGTCATATGATCCCTGTATCTTATATCAGTTAGCTGTATCTTTCAGGTGCTTTTCAAGGATAGCCTCATGTAGAGGATATTGCAGTAGTCAAGAGGGGATATAGCTAAGATGTGGTGGATAACCATTGCTGAATCTCACCAGCTCAGGAAGGGACATAGCTGGCACACTAGACATAATTTTGCAAAGGTATTCCTTGTGACAGCAACTCACCTGCAAATCACAGCTGAGGATTAAGGAGCACCCCCTTACAGCGAACCTCTCAAAAAAGCTTCAA